CCTTCCTTTGAGGTCTTGTCTCATGTGTAGCTTTTTTTTATGACCTCGTGGTTTAGCAGATTTCTTCTTCAGCTTTGATACCACACTACCAAGTACTTTCTTTGAACCTTTCCGCACCTGAGAGCTCTTTAATTTGTTATCTTTATGCTTATCCTTGTGACTGCTTTTATCAACATCTTTGGTTTCTTCATCAGTCAGTCCATTGTCTGTACTAGAGTTACCATCCTCTACTTTCTCATGCTCCTTTGCCTTTCTACCTTTATTCTGTGCTGTCTTGGTCTTCTTCTTTGACACCTTCTCCACTTTTTCACCATCACTTTCTGAAAAGGAAAAGACACTTCTCTCTTTCTTGGATTTACTCTCTGCCTTTTCTTGCAACTGTTTTGCACTAGCCTTCTTCTTGTCTTTCTTGGGTCTTGCAGGTGGCAAACCATCATTTTTTCTCTTATTCTTGCTGCCCTTTGGCCTCCCTCTCTTCTTGGGCATTGGTGTTTCCTGAGAGACTGTTGTAGCTGTCTTTTCCTTCTCCTCAGTCGAAGTGCTGCTCATATTATCCAACTTTTTCTTGTCGGATGACTCCTTTTCCTGAGAACTGTCCTTCTCAGGGGAAGCTTCACCCTTCTCACTTTGTTCACCATTTTCATTCATCTCTTTTTGATTACACTTAGAACTGTCTTCCCCTTCACTATCTACCGACACCTTTCTAACACTTTTGTTCTTTGGTTTGTTTGCGGAAGGGCTAGCATCAACACTTTCTTCTTTGGTATCACTTTTCAACACTTCCTTTTGAGGTTCCTCTTCTGGGGAGGCTTTACTAGACGGATTATCTCTTGCCATCACACTAACCTCCTTTTCAAGTGCTTTTGAATCTTTCTCATCTTTCAAAACTTCTGGTTTCTCCATTTTCTTTTTCTCCTCTTTATCACTTTCTTCTTTTTCACTGACAGATTTTTTGTTTTTCTTTTTATTATCCTTGTCACTTTCGTCCTTTGGAGAAGTTTCTACTTGTTTCTTTGACTTTCTTTTCATTTCTTTCTCCTTTAATTCACTTTCATCTACTATTCTCTTCCCTTTCTTCTTTACTTCTTTTTCCTTATCATCTTTCTCCCCACCCACTTTCTGATCTTTTTTCTTTCCTTCTTTTATGTTTTCAGTTTTGTCCTTTGACTTCTTTTTTGATTCCTTTTCTTGAGCACTCGTCACTTCATCTACACTTTTCTTTACTTTCTTTTTTACCTCTTTATCTGTTTCATCCTGTATTTTTTTCACTTTCTTTTTCATATCTTTATCACTGTCTGATTTTTCATCCACAACTTTGTTGACTTTCTTTTTCACTTCCTTATCAGTTTCCTCTATTTCTGTCACTGTCTTCTTCCCCTTCTTCTTTGCATCTTTGTCATTATCCTCCTTTTCGTCTTGAGTTTTCTTTGTCTTTTTCTTCACTTCCTTGTCACTCTCCTCCTTCTCACTAACTATTTCCTTATTATTTTTCTTTGCCTTTTTCTTCCCATCCTTGTCATCATTGGACTTGCCACTGGTGTCACTTTTGGACTCGGAGTTCCGTCTGGAGGGAACCGTTGTCGCAGACTTTTTCCCCTTGTCCGACACCGCCTTGACAGTCTGGGAGGTATCGCTTTCCGAAGACGTGTCCTTCCCCGCCTTCGCCTCCGCTCTCTCCTTCTCCGCCTTCACCTTCGCGGCGCTAGAGGAATCGGCCGTCTTTCCGGACTTGGAAGCCTCCGCGTCGCTCTTCACGGCGGTCTTCCCGGGCCGCCCCGCAGCCTTCGGGGCGTCGCTGGAGCCTCTCTGGGGAGACCTCCCCGGCGACCGCTTTGCAGGGGACTTCACTGAGGACTTCCCCGGTGGCGACGTGTGCGACGATGCCCGGCCCGGAGAGTGGCTTCTGGCCTTCAATGTGCGCCCTCTCGAGGCCCCTGAGGAGCCCTTGCTGGAAGAGTCGCTGCTGGAACTCGCTGGGGAATGTTTGGGGATGGCTTTGCCTCCGTTGCTCTGGCGTGGCGAAGGGGTTTTTCCACTCTCATGTTTTGATGCCTACGAAGGAAAAAAAACATATTAGTTATGCTCATACCGATAATAGTTTTCTGAAAGCAGTATGACAACCAACAGCCTTCTTCATTTGCAAATAGGCTAAATATTGGCACAAAACATTTTACATTGAAGATAAAAAGGACAGATAACTCACTGGGGTATTGTACCACCAAAATGTTCACAAGGAAGGACTAAAGCATGGCCCAATACTAAAAAAAGAAAACAAAAGGAAAAGATTCATAACAGAACCGGACTAACAGAACCCTTCTCAAATATACTTTAACAGAATCTTTTCAATACACAGTACTTTAATAAAACCTCACAATACTGTAACAGAACCATTAATATACTTTAACAGAAAACCTCTTCAATCTACTTCAAAAGAAACAAGATCCTTCTTAATATACTTTAGCTTTAAACTTGAGCGCGGAGGTTTTCTTGTTGGCGGCGGGGTTCTTCACTCTCCTGAGCGACGACCCTGCTGGCTGCTGGCCCCGCCCCTTCGCCTGCGCTCTGGACGATGCCTTCATCCCGTCACCGCCCCATGCTTGGC